TTGGCACTGCGAAGAGATGTTGCATCTCTTAGCATTTTCTTTCGCATTTACCATGGGGAGTGCTCTGAGGAATTGTTCGAATTAATCCCAGCCGCCAAATTTCACGAACGCACATCGCGGCAGAACTCCCGATACCATCCACACCATCTGGATGATTGGCGGTCCACCACTGTGCGATTTAGAAGATGTTTTCTTCCTCGCACAACTTCCTTGTGGAATAGTTTACCACCAGCGATTTTTCCGGACCGATACGACTTAGGGACCTTCAAGAAAAGAGCCTACTCCTTTTTAAAAGGCCGGCAACGCATCTGCAATTCCCCTGGTGTTGCGGTTGTTCATGGGCGGCGGTAGTCACTTACCATCAGGTGAGCCGCATGCTCGTTTGCCCCCTCTCCTATAAAAAAAAATATATAGGTGCTGGGAGACAGCAGAAAATGATGGGCATACCTGAGGATACTTCTGACGAAGGCTCTCAAAAGTATCGATATTACGAACCTCGAACAATACGCCTTGGCACAAACTTAAACAAAGCATGTGACTTACTGGTCGTCCTTAGTATAAAATACCAACAAATCATACACATACATCTTATGATCTGACTCTGACCCTGCACTTATATCCTTTAGTGTTTGCGGTACGATCGCAAGGAAATAGTTACAAATTTGCTATTAAATAATAGCAGGCGTTCACTAAAAATATAATAAAACTTTTATTACCTAACTAACTGTTCCTCGCAAATTCGCCCGCGTGGAATTTACTACGATTTCAAGGGTTTAAATGTTTTTGCGCGGAACTCTAATTATTTTTCTAAAATAACAGTGGTAAGTTACTCCTTATAACATCAGCTATCTGCCAGCGAGTCTTCTTAAAATCGGTCCAACCGTTTCGTAGATTAGCCGCAACAAACAGACAGACAGACAAAAATGTTAAAAATACTTTCATATGCATTTAGTAAAAAGCTGTTATTTTAACATTACAAACAGACAGACATAGATAAAAGTTCGTTTATAATGGTTATCAACCCCGATAAAAGAAGACTAGTGATTTAATATTTGTCACTGTCACAAAGTAGTAGTAAAAGAATTCCGTGGTAATTGTGTTCTGTGGTGTACCTAATCTTGTACTAGAATGGAAGTTATCATCATCATCATCATTACAGCCCTTCACAAGTTCACTACTGAAAACAGGCCTCGCCCAAGGAATGCCATAAAGCATGGTCCTGAGCCACCTGTATCCACCGACTTCTTGCATGTCTTACCAGGTCGTCACTCCATCTAGTGGGGGGGTCGTCCTACACTTCGCCTACCGGTACGAGAACCTTTTCCCCATCGGTTATCGGTTCTTCAAGCTATATGGCCGATCCATTGCCACTTCAGCTTACTAATCCGTTGGGATATGTCTGGCACTCTGGTTCTACTGCGGATATCCTCATTTCTAAGTTTATCACGCAGAGAAACCTTGAGGGCCAGCAGTGAAGGACCACTTCTCAGATCCATAAATCATCACTGGCAACACGCACCGGTTATGCAATCTCGTTTTCAATGTATCTCTTTTCTGATGTATATCTGACGAGATGTGCCGTAATTTGCTGAACGCTGTTCTAGTACCTAGTCGGACTATTTGTCCCAGGTAAACATACTCATCAACAACTTCGAGCTTAGTGCTCCCAACAACTACCGGCATAGGTGTGACATGGACATTAAACATAATCTTTGTTTTGTCCATGTTCATCTTAAGACCTATCCGTTGGGAGACACTATTGAGGTCATTGAGCATAGTGCTTAGGTCCTCCAGCGATTCTGCCATAAGGACTATATCGGCGGCAAATCGAAGGTGAGTGATGTACTCGCCATTGATGTTAATACCGTATCCTTTGCAGTCCAGAAGCTTGAAAACGTCTTCCAATGCAGTGGTGAAGAGTTTCGGGGATATAACGTCACCCTGTCTTACACCTCTCTGCAATTGGATAGGTTTCGTACTCTGGTATCAGCACCGCCCAAATTTCGACGGAATCAAAGGCTTTCTCATAGTCCACATACGCCAGGCATAGTGGAAAATTGTACTCCTCGGACTTCTGTACAACTTGCCGAAGGGAATTTATGTGGTCTATGGTGCTAAAGCCCTTTCGGAAAGCGGTTTGTTCGGGAGGCTGCAAGTCGTCAAGTCTGCGTGCGAGACGATTTGTAATGACTCTCGAAAACAGCACGTAGACGCGGGTAGTTCTTCAAGAGAGCATTGTTACCTTTCTTGATGAATAAGACCACCGCACTTTTGCCCCACGTCTCCGGTGTAATGTCACAATGGAGGACGGAATTAAAAAGCCTCTGAAGGACTTCCAGTACCGGTTTTCCACCCGCTTTCAGAAGCTCCGCTGTAATTCCATCCTCACCTGGGGCCTTGCCGTTTTTAAGATGCTGGAGAGCCATTCTAATCTCGCTCAGACTGACGTCCGGGATATCTTCGGAATAGGGTCGGATAAGACTCGCTCTTGGATCGTTACTCACACTTGCGTGTGGCTCCAACAATGACGTGTACAGCTGTCCATAGAACCTCTCAATCTCACTCAAAATCTCAGGTGCCCCGGAAACGATGCTGCCACACTTGGTCTTCAGCTTTGACAGTTGGCTCTTTCTGGCAGACAGATCTCTGGCAAAGACTTTGGAGCCTTGGTTCCGCTCGATCGCTTCTTCAATACAAGCTGTATTGAAGTTGCGTAAGTCCCGCCGCATACATTTGGAGATCTGTCTGTTCAGTTGCCTGTATGCTGTCAAATCTGTTGAAGAATGTAGCTTCATCTCCCGTCTAACAGCTATGAGATTAAGAGTGTGATCGGAGAGTTTTTGTGTTCTTCTGCGGCGGGTCTTGCAGAACTTAGCTCCGACCGCATGGACAGTTTCCAAGAACTTGTCATTCATATCGTCCACTTCATTGCAGTCTTCTAGGCACTGAAAACGGTTTTGTAACTCGAGCTGAAAGGTTTCAGGACTTTGGATACAGAGCACGAGGGGGACGGAGCGTTGACTTCATTAGACGAGACCTCTCCAACTTAACGTTTAGGTTCAGTGTGCCTCTAAACATTCGGTGATCGCTACCAGTTTTCACCCTCGCGAATACGGAAACATCACTGAACAGTCTGGTCGTCATAATGAAGTCAATCTCATTTTTTGTGGAACCGTCGGGGCGCGACCAGGTCCACTTCCTGTGGGGCCGTTTCTGGAAGAAAGAGTTCATCATAAAGAGTCCCTCTTTCTCCATGAATTCGGCCAGCTGCTGGCCCCTTGGGTTCCATTGCCCTATTCCAAATTTCCCTACTTTCAGCTCACCGTTCCCTCTTGTGCCTAGTTTTGCATTGAAGTCTCCCATTAACACCGTATATTGGGTTTTAGATGAATGCATGGCTCTAGAGATATCCTCATACATTTCCTCCACCTCCTCATCGGGGTGTGCCGAGGTTGGTGCTTAAACCTGTATGACCTTCAGTGAATACCGTTTGGTGATTCTGAGTATAAGGTACGCAACCCTCGTCGACACACTCCCGATCTTTACAACGTTGTTAACGAGAGACTTGTGGACGATAAATCCGACACCTCCTTGGGACAGATAGTCGCCCTCCCTGTGATAGAGCAAGTTGCCGGATTCGAGGATTACCGTGTCCTCCCCCTCTCTTCGGACTTCGGATAGTCCTATAATAAAGCTAGCGTAACTTGTCTATCACTTCTTCCAGCTCCACGATCTTCTCGTCAGTCCTCAGGGTGCGTGCGTTGTACGTTGCCAGGTCGAGTCGTTTGAGGTGGCAACCGAACCTCCACTGGAGATTCTTAGCACCCCCTGCCCCGCCGTTACCATGGTCGCCACCGTAGCCAGGAATAGCGGGGCCGCCGGGGACTGGGGGCCGTCTCCTTGTTACTCTCTTCATAGGGGGGTATTTGCCATAGTTGCTACGCTTAGCGAGCGGGTTGGCAACCGCAGTTTTTTTATTGCAATTTTGGCTATTATCAGGAAGATGCGGCTGCCCATCTCCTGCCTGTTTCCCTTTGTCGCCTTTTACGACACCCACGGGAAGATATGGGGTAGTGGATATTCTTGACCGCTACTACACGGCGACGAACAAATAGTCCGACGGACATACCTAGTCGGACTATTTGTTCCAGGTAAACATACTCGACCACTACTTCGAGCTTAGTGCTCCCAACAACTACCGGCATAGGTATGACATGGACGTTACACATGATCTTTGTTTTGTCCGTGTTCATCTTAAGAACTAACCGATGGGAGGGACTATTGAGGTCATAGAGCATAGTACTAGTGCTTAGGTCCTCCAGCGATTCTGCATAAGGAATATATCGACGGCAAATCGAAGTTGAGTGGTGTACTCGCCATTGATGTTAATACCGTATTCTTTCCATTCCAGTAGGTTGCAAACGTCTTCCAATGCAGTGGTGAAGAGTTTCGGATATAACGTCACCCTGTCTTACACCTTTCTGCAGTTAGATAGGTTTCGTACTCCGGTTCTGTGGCCCATAGACATCTACATTTTTCCTCGTCTGTGAATCAAAATGCAAATGCGTTGTCACCCGTGAGGACTAAGATGGAATGCCTCTTTTCCAGTAAAAAGGGTCTCCAGTTCTCTACATTCACCATACGAAACACAGAAGTGTTAAGCTGCTATTTTACGCTGATATTCTGTTAGAACGTGGTCTACTAATATAGCTGCAGCATGGCTCTACCACGCAAAAACTTCTTACGTTAATCTTCATATACCCCTCAAGTAAAGTCGTTATTTTTGACTTTGCAGGTCACAGCACCACCTTGAGAAGCATACCTCCCACTTTGAAAATCTCCAATGTATAATCTAAGCATTTGTGTTTTGGCCATAATACGATGCAACGTGGTATAATATAAGAAAAATCAAACATTAAAAAAACAATAAGTCATCGGCTGTAACTTGATAACTTTATTTCATTATATTACATTATATAAATAACTACTCCTGGCTACATTCACTTCTTGGCGGCTAGGGCGGAGAGGTCTGCGATGCACCGGTCCAATGTTTGCTTCTCTTGGTCCGGAGTGATAGCCTTCATCACATTGGCTACTATCCATTCGACCATGTGCTTCTGAGCGATACGACGTTCCATGTTGGATTTCTCCAATTGGTAGTCAAGGCGGCGCTTAACCTGGAAAACAATTGGACTGGTTATTATGGGTTTAAAAAACACGATTACTTAAAATGATCAAATATTTGCTAAGAATAGTTTCAAAGATTTAGCGCCTTGGCTTTGGGCCTCGGGTTTGAATCCCAACAGAAGCAGTGATTGTATCCATGTACAATTTATATTTGCAAAAAAAAAACTCAGCAAATAGAAGAACTACTGTGGAAGTAAAATGTTGTCAAATAGGAAAAACGTGGATTTGCTGTATGCTTTTGGAAATTTCTTCTTAGAATAATAATTTTAGAATGATGACCTGCCAATAAGCTGGTTGCGGCTGTCGCAGAAATTATAACCGTTGGAGTAGATGTGTTATAGTGTAGACCTTGCTTATTTTTTTTTATCTCCTCATTTAAAACGTTACCACCCCACTAGGATTTTCTCCTGTATCATGGAGGCAGTTTACAAACATAAATTGCACAAGGACAAACATCCAGACCCGGAACAATTATTTGTAGGCCATACAAATACTTGTTCAGTGCGGGATTCGAACCCGCGGCCCCCAGCGCAACAACTCATTGCTAATCCACTGCGCCACGGAGTATTCATTTAAATGAATAACTATTTATAATATAGTGTAACTGATTTGCCTTTTCTACAGACTTCAAAAAGGAGACGGTACTCAATTCGACTGTATGTTTTTTTTTATGTGTGATATCTTATAACTTTTTACTGGGTGAACCAATTTTGATGATTCTTTTTTTTTTTAAATGATGCTTCATATGTGATCCCATATAAATTTAATCATGGTTTGACCAATAGTTTTTGAGATATTCTTATTAATTTATATTGAAGTCGGTGGTACAAAATTTTCAATTTTAAATTATTTTTCAAAAATAACATTACTTGAATTTCTTCTGTTAAAACTAGTTTTACGGATTTTATCGCGACTGTCGGTCAGTTCTCCCCGTGACCTAATATAAGTTAATATACGAGATAAAATCTGTCAAGCTAGTTATATTGAAATGTAGTGTTTGCGTAAACATAAGAAATCATTTTCTCCTGTATCGTGGAGCAATTGACATACATAAATTGCACAAGGGCAAACATCTAGAGTCCAGACCCGGGACAATTACTTGCAGCCCATACAAATACTTGTGCCGTGCGGGATTCGAACCCGTCAGCGCAGCCGTCAGCGCCATAACTCATTGCTAAGCCACGGCGCCATGGAGGCGTCAAAACTTATTCCTTTACATCCTTTAAACATCCTATAAAATTACAATAAATTTACATTATTTAAAAGGGGATGATTATTCAAAAGATAAGAATGCATGAACTTAATGAACTAATAATATTATGTTTGTATTTATAATGTTAAATTTTGACTGTTGGGAGAAAAAACAATTTACATGTGAATTTCTTGCCAATTCTTTGTACAAAGAGCAAGCCATAAGATTAATTTATAACCTAGGTCCGAAGAAATCCCTTAGAGAAAAAAATTCAAGAAATAAATATATACCTTGGCCTTTATATCGAAAAGTTAAAAATTTTTATTACACAAAAATTGATTGAAATAATAATAACCCTTATTAAAATAACGGTTATTATTGTAGTACTAAAGAATACATGATTGATTGATGCTGTTTCTAAATGTTTTGTATAAAATAATATGTAAATTAATGTTTAAAAAAAGTCACACTGGGTTACTTGCTGGTCCTTCCCAGGGCTGAGGTTTTTACGAACCAGTGGTAAAGCTTAAATTAGTTTCAATAAGTATTTTTGTAACATATGAATAAAGATTATTCTATTCTATTCCATATCTCCCGCAGTATAATTTTGAATAAATTTATTTTGATTTGACTTGACTACAAACCTCAGTGTAAGCACTCATCAGACGCTCTCTGTAAGCAGCTTCAAGTTGCAGAAGCACATTCTCCTTTTTGGCCTCAATAAGAAGTTCCTGTCCCTGAGCACGCCACTGAGCAGCCTTCTCTTCTTCAATCGACTGTTCTAAGAACTTGACGTTCTCGACACGGCCTTCATTCCAGTTATTCTCGACAGCCTAAAAAAGAATTAAAATGTATTTTCCAAAATATATATTCTAGTGTCTGACTGAAGCTTCGACTTGTATGGCTTCGGATGGCCAAAAAAACGACATTCGGCGAAAAACGACACACGACGACATTTCGACCGAAACCTTTGGCGGTTTCTAGCAAGCGCCGAAATTGAATATAAATCTTCGGACACTAGTATGTTCTATATATATCTTTTTTATCTATTCTATATATAATCTTTGGTGCGTCTGTTAAAAGTTGCGTAACTTCTGAACAACTTCACCAATAAGGGCTAACAATCTTCCGCTCACCAGATGTCGCTAGTTGACAATAAGGTAGTTTTTTGTTACATAATGTCATTTAATTGAGAAGTTAGTTTTAAATAAATGTTTATGAGTTTCTAGAGTAATAAATTAATATACAAAACAATGCTTCAGTTGCGTTGCTCTTTAATTTTTTACACATTTTTAACTCTTATTTTTATTTTTACTTTTATGAATATCTATTGTTTTATTTTATTTATTTCTAATGTAATTAATATTTATAAATTAGAACTAATACAAAAGAAAGAAACATTAACTTTAATATTTTCCAAACAAATCAACTTCCCCATTATGAAATCTGTCAAATATTATATCTCATATTTAAGTGGCGCCGCCCTGGTGGCAAAAAGTCGTGGTAGTATTCACACAATATATTTGGACGGTGTTATGCAGAACGATTCAATCCACAAACTGGTCAATCCATCTTTTATCAGTTTATTTCCGAGTATACAAAACTAAACCGTACCATTTCTACTGTAACGTAATCGTTCTACACCCCATATCATCCCGTGAGTGTCGTAAAAAGCGACAAAAGGAAACAAATCAGATGAGCAGCAGGGTCTTCCTAATAACGACTAACAATAAAAAACTGCGGTTTTCAACAAGATTGCCAAGTGTAGCAACTATATCTCCTCTATAAGGCAATCTACGGGGGAGGCCATGTTCAGCAGTATAACCTTTCTCCCTATCGGTTGTCGGTACTCCAAGCTATATGGGCGGCCTAATGCTACATCACCTTACTGAACCATTGGGCTTTGCTAGTTACTTTGGCTTTTGGTTTCGCCTGTTGATTTCCTTATAGGGTGACATTTGGCAAAGTGCTATACTAGACAGGCGGGTTGGCAACTACAATCCTTATTGTTTTAAACTGTTAACAGAAGTTACTGCCCATCTCCTGTTTCAATTTTTCTCTGTCGCCTCTTACGACACGACAAGCACAGGATAATATGGGTTAATGGATTATCCTACACCGCCACCACACTGTTACTAATTTACATTACCGTTATCATTACAGCCTATGAAAGACCACTGCTGAACATAGTCCTTCCCCACAGATTGCCTGTTAGGGGAGATATTTACTATAGTTGCCACGCTTGGCTAGCGGGTGGGCAACCGCAATTTTTTATTTTTAGTCTTTGTTAAAGATGCTAGTGGACTAAGTTACATTGGTTGAATAAAATATCTACTGTGATTCTATATACCTTACTCAGTGGCAAATAAGAGAGTGTTGAAATACTACAATTATTTATTCTAACATATCATTAATTAATTATCACGTTTTTTTTTATAGAATTAGGGTGACAAACGAGCACATAGTCCACCTGATGGTAAGTGGATGCTGTGGCCCATAGACATCTACATTTATCCTCGATTAAGAATCAAAATGTAGATGCGTTGTCACCACTGAGGACTAAGATGGAATGCCTATTTTTCAGTAAAAAGTTTCCAGTTCTCTACACTCACCATATGAAACACAGCAGCGTTAAGCTGCTATTTTACACTGATATTCTGTGAGAGCGTGGTCCTACTCCGGTCGAGCCGACTCAATCATGTTTCAACCATAATATATGTAGCTGCAGTGTGGCTTTATCATGTAAAATTTACTTACATCAACTTCCTTGTCCAGCCATTGAGCAATCTTGGGTCCAAATCTGGTAGTAGCGTAGTAGACCATAACAAAAATGGAGAGACCAGTGTAGTATTCATGTTCCATGACGTAGATCTCTTTGCTGCACAGATATGTAGCAAGACCAACACCAAATGTGTATGGGCCGGTTACTCCAGTTTTTGAGTGGAAAAATTGAAACCTGTAAAGATGTATATAATATAAAAGTACAGTGGATTTCGGGTATAAGGATGATGAAGGGACCACTCTATTTTCGTCGTTATATCCGGAAGTCGTTACAGGCAAAGGTAACAAATTCAATACATTACAGTTACTACTCAGAATATCACTTTGTAACTGAACCATAAATTTAACTACGAAACGTACACGCTTCCCTACCTACTTAGCTGATATCTATAAAAGGTAAATGTCTCCACACTTGCTGACCATCTGTGTGGATGTAAACAATAAATAAGAAATGTTTGATAGAAAGAAATCTTTGTGTCTTTGGCGGCCGAATCCGATCGCAATATCTGCATGGGATTTCTAGGAATTTGTTACAAATGATTCATTAAAAACAGTCGCTACAACCAAACTCGGCGTTATCCAAAGTCGCTATAGCCACATGAATTTTGTACTAAAATATACTTTAAATTCAAGGGACTTAGATTTAACGTCGCTATAGGTAAATGGTTGCTACAATCAAGGTCGTAATAAATTAAATCCACTGTATATGAAAACTGTAGAATTTTTATATGAGTTGATCTTAAAATCACATGGTGAAAAAAATCTTAATAGAAAATATGGAATTTGTTTTAAATGTATTTAGACTGCCTCGTTGGTCAGTGGTCGCTACTGATCACGAAGTCCCAGATTGTGCCATTGGTTTCTCTGTCAAGAAATTCTAAGTAGTTGCATGAACTAATGAAGTTAGCGGTTTCTCCCATGCCTCGGAAAGCGAAATCACATAGAACTGTTGGTCCTATGTGATTTCGCGCTGATCTCTCTACGGTCATTTCAAATTACTGTCCCATCAGATTATGAGAGTATGGGAATAGAGAGTGCTTGAGCACACACTTATGCACCATAATACCGTCCTGTGCAGATGGCTAGTCCCCGTTGAGACTGGCCGCCGTGATCGAAATTCGGTTTGGAAGACACTATTACACTACTATTAAAGTAGTTACATTAAATTCAGGATTTGTCTTATACCTGATTTAAATTGGATGGGGTTGGGGGGGGGGGGGGGGGGGAGATTATATAAGAGTATAGATTAAAAATAAAACATCATACCATTCTTCTGGAACGAAACCGAGTCTGACTTTGCCGGGCTCACCACGTACTGGACGCGGGAAGTTCTTCTCGTCGCGTTCTCCAACGGCGTCAGTGGCAGAGCCACGCGCTACCAGCGCAGTGGTAGCGGATTGTCGACCGGCAACTTTAAAACAAATAAGAATTTTATTGGCACACTATTTTCACATCTTGTCTCATAAGCATAGAACAGCCTAAGATAAATGGTAGAATAAATCAATAGATGACAAAATCAGGTAACTAAAAAGAAACTATGAATTATTTTTTAGATAAAATAGAAGATACATTACATACATTCGTTTGTAATATTTGAAAAATATAATATATGGGTTATATTTACAATTTCTATTTGGTTGCAATGTTATGTGGGTGGGGGTCTTATGTCTAGAATGAACGGAATATAGAAATAATAGTGTTTATATTGAGAATTTTTATTTCTTTGCTATATTATGTGGGTGGTGTACTTATTTAATTATGTAATAGGATATAAGAGTGCATTTTTTCGTCTACAAACTTTCGTCTTTACAGTTTGGCAAAGTTATAAAATTATGTAATGTTTTTGTAAATTTTAGTAAATAAATAAAAAAGTTCGAAAATATGCATTTAACCCCTAAAATCCAGTGGTGTATTTAGAGGCTGGTATTTTTTTTTTTAAATAGGTTACCCCCACACTAAGATTTTCTCCTGTGTCGTGGAGGCAGTTTACAAACATAAATTGCACAAGGACAAACATCCAGACCCGGAACAATTATTTGTAGGCCATATAAATACTTGTTCCGTGCGGGATTCGAACCCGTGGCCCCCAGCGCAACAACTGATTGCTAAGCCACTGCGCCACGGAGCCGTCAATTTAGTCCGAGAAATATCAAATGTAGTTTTAAAATTATTTTTAAATAAGGTTCGAGAAAGTTATTGTTTTAGTGTGTGTACCGTTACATTGGTAGCATAACAGAGAAACTGAAACAGGAGGTGGGTAGCAGCTAGTTATGCAGTTTGGAAATAGCCTTAATACCCGTTGATCCCAAATTGTCCTGACTAAGCTTTTGATATTACTTATAAACACGATATTTGCAAGTAGCCATAATTTTACAATAACATGTTGACCATGTATTGTGCCAATTAAGCGTTTGATATCGGATTACTGAAAACATGTTATGAAGTGTAATGTTACAGAAGACACTGACTCCATTGTATAATTGTTATTGCTGGTCAAACCATACTTTCAGTCAACAGACTTGTTTTGACCATCCTATAAAAGTCCTTGCATTTAGAATAAGATTCATTATAATTTTCATCGTAGTAATGTAATCACATAGTTAAGGAAGTCAGTATTGCACTGAATTAGTTTTTTTTAAAAAAAAATACTAGTAATGTTATTAAACATTACTAATATTCCCGTTAACCACTTCTGGTAAGCTTAAAATGCTTGTGTTAGAAGTGGTTCACGACAGTAGTCGAATAGCGGATTCGAACTCACGACGTTTCGAGTTCGCGGTTCGTGGCCTGCCATTAGGCTACTGAGTCTTCGAGTTGAGTTTTAATACATTATTGTAATGTAACAGTAATAAATGTCATCGAGACATATTTAGTTGTATGTTTTAATAAGCTTTAGCACCGCTCCCGAAACTTAACTAGCTTTTTGCTGATATTAGGTCAAAAACAATAACAAAAGAGCTGTGTGTAAAATAATAATTAAAAAAAATAAGTGAATTCGAAATGGGCTATAATGAGTAAATAGATGTGTGCATATCCAATATATTAAATTTTGTTTGAAATGTTTTCTAGAAATAAAGCAAGCATTAAGTTTAGTTGCTACATGAACTGATGCCGCTACAATCTCAGAAGAGAACCACTGTGGGATAGAATTATTTAGTTAACATTCTACCAAGGAGTGGCAGCATAATATTATTACAGAGAATGAACAGTGGGTAACATTTTTTTTTATAGGATACGGTGACAAACGATCACACAGTCCACCTGATGGTAAGTGGTTGCTATGGTCCATAGACATCTACATTTATCCTCATTTGCGAATCAAAATGCAGATGCGTTGTCACCCGTGAGGACTTAGATGGAATGCCTCTTCTCCAGTAAAAAGGGTCTCCGGTTCTCTACACTCACCATATGAAACACAGCACTGTTAAGCTTGCTATTTTACACTGGTATTCTGTGAGACATACAACAATTTTTTATGTAAGCATCAGTGGTTTGCTGATGAGTCACAAATTTATTTTAGCGTGTGATAGGGAATAAAAGGCATTTTTATTAGAAGTTTCTGCTAAATGACAGGATGATCACTTCATATATAGCAAGAGCGATCGGTGAAAGAATACTTTCATTTCAATACTGGGCTGTTCTTCCCCACTCACCACACCCTACAGACATTATGCATTCAGTACTACCACTTATTTAATTTCCTAGATATAATTATATTCAAAATATAAAAAATTTCAAATCTTTAAGAAGTAACCTTACTTTTTAACCAACATCAAAAAGAAGGTTCTAAATTCGAGTGTATGTTTTTTTATGTTTATTAAGTGATATCTTTGCATAATATTATGATGGTCCCATAAAATTTAGAGATTTTTTAGCAATTTGAAGTTGGTGTTTTGTTAAAAGTTATAATTATTTAATCAAAAGCTTAAATACATTACAAGGATTGTCTGCTATTTCTATCAGTGTGTTAGCTACAAATGATAGTGGTTTTTTTTTATAGTAGAAGGGGCAAATGAGCATGTGGCTCACCTGATGGTAAGTGACTACCATAACAACTGCAACACCACGGGAAGTGCAGGTGAGTTGCCGGCCTTTTAAAAAATAGTAGGCTCTTTTCTTGAAGGTCCCTAAGTCGTATCGGTCCAGCAGAGCTATTCACAATCGTCTCGGAAAGCGAATTCGACTCGGATTCGATAACTTCTCGCACCGAAACCAATAAACGCTATTCACATTTAACGTTCGGATAAAGGTCACTTAGATACATCCTATAACTATTGTATCGTCATTTAGTTACATGCATTTACGAATTTTGTAGATAAATAGGCTTTTGTATTTTTTAAGAGTAACGCCTAAACAAAAACATAATGCAATATTTTGGAGTTAGCCATTGATATCGAATATAAAAAATATATAATTTAACTATATAAAAAATAACAAAAAAACTGAGATATGTCTCGTTTCACAAAGCAGCATATATATATGCTGCTTTGTGATAGAAAACTTGTAAAAACACACCTTTCAGTTCACACCTCCTGTTTCAGTACCGTCTATCACCTCTTACGACACCCACAGGATGATATGGGGTAGTAGATTATGTTAAACCACCACTACACTGTTAATCTAATACTTAGCATTAAAAAATATGATATTAACAGCCTCAATGTGGTACTATACACTAGACAGCATAACAAGACCATGCTGTGCTTTTCTATAAAGACACAATAATAATTACAAAACGCTGTAATTTATATAAATTTATATGTGAATTCACAACTTTTATAAATTATCTCCTACACCAAAGGTAATCGTAACAAGCACGCAGGTCACACTGTATTGATATCATTCACAAATATTCTTATACTAACCTTTGCCCGCAAATTCGTCCACATAGATATTATACTCCAAACCAATTATACTTTACAGTTTTTGTACCGCACGCCTAAATAGCTCACAGATGACAGATTTTTCCGACTTACTTAACACTTATCGTTATATTTTGACCAATTTACACAATATCTTTATTAATTATAGCCTATGTGTTGTTCTGATGTATGAGCTATATTATTGTAAAGTTTCATTAAAAGACATTCAGTAGTTTTTGCGTGGAAGAGTAACAAACATCCATACAACTTCACAAACTTTCACGTTTATAATATTATGATTAGTAGGAAGTAAGATTTGTCTCTGCTCAATCTAAACTTTGGTTTCAACCAAACCTAATAAATTCAAATATTGACTGAAGGTGGCAGAAGCTGATTTAGTTAGACAATATACTTTACTCATTCTAGCAGGAAACCTTTCCTATCTATTAGAACCACATCAATAAAAATAAATAAAAATCATGCGAGTAAAGATAAGGAGGATGGTTCACTACAATATTCCATTTCAGGTTTGTAGAATTAACATCTTTGTTGAAAATACATTTTTCACTCTTGCAGATTTCCAAGACTATTTATTATATTATGGAATATACTGAGTACAAAGCAGTTCTTAAATGATGAAATAACAACTTCTTTGGTCATTCTTAAGTTACTTATTTTTATGTTTTATAAATAATAATATTAATTTTGTTCATTCTGGCTTTATAATATAAATGAATTAGAGAAGGGGTGTCGTAAGAGACGACAGAGCAAGATGAAACAGGAGAAGGGCAGTACCTTCCTAATAATACCTCAAAATAAAATAAAAATTGTGGTTCCTAACCAAGCATGGCGACTAAGCCTAATATGGGGGATATTAGGCTTAGTCGAGTCTTTGAGGAAAACCTATTATTGGTTATGATATTTAATTTACAGCAACATAATATCTCACAAGAATAATATTAAACACGCATGTGTAATTGAAGCATTTAAAACTAAATAGGTATATAAAATTTATATAAGTACAGTGAAATTCCAAAATTTAAAAAATAAAAAAAAAATACAGGCACTTGTCAAATCAGTGATTACATAAACCACAGTAACACCAAGGTTAATCAACTTTTTATGATATTTAAACAATATATATTAAAATATATCGTAAATGTAACATACCTGAACGCAAAGCTATGCGCGATAGCATTTTAAATTTAATTAATTTAAAATATTTTAATTTTCGCAACAACCCCGACGAAAATACTTTGCGTTAAAGACTAGTGATTTCCGGTTTATAAAAAGTACTCTGTGATGCTGTTATAATAATCGATTGTTAATAATCGATAAAACTATTATTAAAATAATCGACAATAATCGACTAAAGAAAAATAATAATACAATCGGTTATCAAAAATAATCGTGAGTTATATTTGCCGAAAATATTTATGACCGAAATTTTCCTTAGTCCAAATCTTGACTTCACTTTTTCCGAACGTATAATTTATTACTAACTAGAGGTGGGCGATGCAAACTGTATAGTGATTCGAAATCTATATTATATTGGTACAATATCTAAAAACCGCTTACTGGTTCGTTCTAAAACTATGTATTTCAAAATCTGATATTTCCATAATTGTATTAACAACTCTTCTCCCGCCGAAGTGTTGAAATTTCTTAGATCTTCTGGTCTTTGCAGGCCAGCTACATTGGAATGTGGTCCTTCTCTATCAGTTGATGAAATCAACCAACGTTTCGCTTCTGTAACAGCAATGGACCCTACAATTCGCTCTCAAACTGTGGCTTCCATTGCTTCTGTGCAAATTCCTAATATAACTAACTACCTTTAATTTCTCTCTTGTTTCGCAGGATGATGTCAAAAAGTATATTTTAGCAATTCAGTCCAAGGCGGTGGGTTATGATGAGATTAGTAGACAAATGGTAGTATTTATACTAGAGCACCTTCTTCCGGCAATTTCCCATGTTATAAATTTTTCCCTTGATTCAGGTCAGTACCCTAATCTTTGGAAAAGGGCTTTTATAAAGCCCCTTCCAAAAGTTCCTTCTCCCATTCTTCCCAATCATTTTCGCCCTATATCCATTCTACCCTTTCTTTCCAAAATTTTAGAATCCTGTGTTTACAAGCAAATTTCTACATTCATTTCGAAACATAACCTACTGAGTCTATATCAGTCTGGGTTTCGTCCTGGTCATAGTACCAGTACTGCTTTAATTAACGTCACAGACGATATTAGAAATGGTATGGAAGAAAAAAAAGTAACAGTACTGGTACTAGTTGATTTCTCAAATGCTTTCAACACAGTTGATCATGAAATCCTTGTTTCCATACTGTCTCATCTAAATTTTGGCCCTACAGCATCGGAATGGTTTGCATCTTATCTTCGCGATCGACAGCAGTCAGTCTGTGTGGGGCAAATAACCTCAGTTTCCACATCACCTCAGTTTGGGCTGATGTGGAAGCTGGTGTACCGCAAGGCGGTATTCTTTCTCCTATAATTTTTTCTATTTTTATAAACTTTATTACCTCCATCTTCGATTGCTCGTACCATCTGTATGCCGATGACCTTCAGCTATACGTGCAAGCTGAAATAGGGGATATCCATAATGGGATTAAAAAATTAAATAACAACTTACAAGCTATCAAGGATTGGTCTACTCGTTATGGAGTGTTGGTCAATCCTTCAAAATGCCAAGCTATACTGGTGGGTAGCTCAAGGATGCTAGCCAAGATCAATCTTGCAGATATACCCCCTATCTACTACAATAGGATTACAATACCGTTCAGTAAGTCTGTAAAAAATCTTGGGCTACACATTCACAGCACGCTGAATTGGAGAACTCAGGTTACTGAAATCAGTCGTAAAGTCACTGCTACGTTACGTACTCTGTATCATTTAAAACATTTTCTCCCCACAAAGTCTAAGATCATGCTTGTCTAATCACTCATATTACCCATAATTGATTATGCAGATGTGTGTTACCTGGATCTGTCCCAGGATCTTCTAAACAAGCTGGAACGTCTTCTCAATAACTGTATAAGATTTATTTTCGGGCTTCGTAAGTATGACCATATTTCACAATATAGATTTAAGCTTAATTGGCTTACAATCCGGCAGAGGCGTATTTCCAGAATATTACTTGTTCTTTTTTCCATAATAAATGACCCATTTTCGCCTTCTTATCTTAAGAGTAAATTTCACTATTTCTCCTCATCTCATGATAGGGTTCTACGTTCGTCTTCTAACAACAAAATATGTATTCTAGTTCACTTCACCGAGTTCTATGGTAACTCCTTTACAGTTCAGGCTGCACGCCTTTGGAACTCCTTGCCTGACGACATCAGAAAAGCTCCCAATAAGTTTGCTTTTAAAAAGTTGGTGCGTAATCATCTGTTAAAGACAACGCTTCTTAGATGAATCATCCATGTCATTTATATTTTAGACGTATATATTTATAGTTATTTATATATATATATATATATATATATATATATATATATATATATATATATATATATATGTATTTACAGTTATTTAAATACTATTTGTATATGTATGTTGGTATGAATATATGTATGCTTATGAATGTACGTATATATTGTACGTATATATTGTAATGTATAAATAGGATATATTTTTATAGTTTATTTATTGTATATATTAGTAAAATGTATATATAACGTAATTAATTATAAATTTCTATTTTGTTTTTATTCTATATTGCTACACCTACTTCAAATTCTTACCACTCCATGGGTTGACTGGTAGAGAATGCCACAAGGCATTGAGTCCGTACCTTTGTATTCTTTTAGATTAAGGAATGCAATAAAGAATAAATAAATAAATAAATATTTGCGTACCACCGTTATGACTATATCGCTTCGCATCGGTCGGTGGCTAGATTCGCCGTGTGCGACAGAGCGCGAGCGATATAGGTATTATACTGATTCCTTCGAAAACTATGTAATACAAAATCTGATATTTGAGTACCGCCGCGATGCCTATATAGCATCGCATCCATCGGTGGCTAGATTCGCCGTGTGCGACAGAGTGCGAGCGATATAGATATAAAGTTTAATTTCTGTTGCCTAATAATAATACATTTCAAATGTTATTGTTTTTTAAAGCCTAAAATCGAGGGCATGTTTTATTATTTTATTTAGAATTTTCAATTTATTTATAAATGTAGTGGAAAGAGAAAGGTGCGTTTTTATTATTTTAAATACCTTTAGTATTGTAAATAAATAATAAGGACACTGTAAATATCTACTATTTTAATTGAACTATTTAATCAATATCATATGAAAACTATAGTAGTGGAAAGAGAAAGGTGCGTTTTTATTATTTTAAATACCTTTAGTATTGTAAATAAATAATAAGGACACTGTAAATATCTACTATTTTAATTGAACTATTTAATCAATATCATATGAAAACTATATTCAAAAAAGAATAACCGACTTTTATGAAGATTAAGTTAATAAAATATAATCAAAATTGGTTAATTGGATTTTTGTAGAATTCAGAAAATCGAAAACATACATAATATGTACATTCATACGGGTCGAATAAAGACCTTCCTTTTTTTGAAGTTGTTTTCAACAGCGTATCGGAGTAGAAAACATAAACGCGTATGCAGAATATATAGATATTGAAATATGTAGTTTTGATATCAGATATTGAGATTTAAAATCTGATATAGATACGATACTCAGAAAATGCGATACGACCCAGGCCTATTACTAACTAGCGATCCACCCCGGCTTTGCACCGGTGATTTCTGGATCTTGACAACAGTGCCACCTACCGGGTCAAATTGTGAATCTAAACCATACAAAGACACATTCAAAAAATTTCATCATATGCAGTCCAGTGGTTTAGGAAGACACATCAGTGACAAACACGCGTATAGAAGATTGATGTTTGTAAAGATTAGACTTAAAACAGACTGTTTTTTTCTAAAATATGACCCATGCTTTATCTGTTTTCAGCCTTGAAACTACTTTTTTTTTTCATTTATTTATAACATTATAATAGATACAAGGGTTACGTCTATTTAACACCCGGTTTTCTCCTCACGGTTTTTTGCAAGTTAAATATACTTGAATTTGTATAATCGATTATTGATCAATGAATGCGACTCGCTATAGATTAATCGATTTTAACATTTAGAAATAGAGATGGGTTAGGCTGGCAACATACATGCGGAATTCCGTTTCAGGATTCCGTTTCGGAATTCCGAACGAGTCAGCCACATACATTCGGAATTCCATTTTACCCGCAAAATTTCGAACGGGAAACTACCGTATGTGTGTGACAGGCCCTTAATTTTATATGGCCTTGCTGCGTTCGGAAACCCGATACAGAATTCCGAAACGGAATCCCAAAATGGAATTACGTATGTATGTCGCCAGCCTTAGGCGCTGCGCAAACGTGGACACTGTTGGTTATAGACACAGCACACCATCACAGGAAAACTAGCTGCTGTGTCCAGTAGCGGCAATCGGACACAACCGGTCGCTCTTTCTGGTCACTTGTAACAATCCGTGCTAGTTTTCCGTCAGTTTCAGGATGGAAGTCAATGTAGAAACATTACCCTTGCTTGTTGTGTTATAATAGATAAATTGGTGATTTTATACGTCGAATATTTACAGGCAAATCAACCACGCCCCACACAACTTAGTTTCCAGTTACCTACAACGAACACTTTTTTTGGCGATCGGTGTATGTCAAGTGGAAGCCACTGGACAGTAAAAGAGTTTAGTCTGCGTAGAGAGTGGCTGATTTCATATTGATTATATGAAAATAAAATATGCATTGGTAGCTTGTATCCCACACAAGACACAAAATTACCTACGTTTGAATAAGGCCATAGTTATTGTTATTGCTTTGATATAGTCGATACCAGATACTATGTAAGAATAGATTTCATTATAGGAAATTAAAAAACCAATATAATAAGAGGTGACAAAGGGAAACTGAAACAAGAGATGAGTAGCAACATCTTTCTGACTACAAATTAATATTAATAATAATAACTTAATAGGTTACCTTGGAAAAATAAATAAGTTGCTGAAAATGTATTAAGTACTAGATGTTTATTTGTGAATGCGAATAATAAAAATATGTATAAGTATAGGAGTTGTTCAGCATCTGTTGAAAAGCAACTGGAAATGTCGGACTTGTAGTAAGGTAATGAAAGCTCATGTCCCCCACTTCAAACACACAGGTGAGAGCAACTGCAATGAAAAATCTCTATTCTAATCTTACTGACTACGCTCTTCCATGGATATACACCACGAACCTAAACAGTGAACACGAATATTTAACGAAAGAAGACGTAATGGAAATTATTCGTTATGAACTTTGAATATCTTAAAAATTGCAATGATTAGCATAATAAAATATACTGTTACGAGCTTGGGGTTCGAGACAATTAAAAACTACCGATTGAATTACCAAAATTGACACTTTAATTACACAACACTAATTACAATCTAAAATCACACTAATAATAAAACACAGTTCGCCGTTATTTCGCTTCGAAGTATTCTCTTGTATCGCCAATTCAATACTGCCCCGGTCGTGGTCTATACCGGCCTTATATAGGGCTTCAGATAGTTTCCAGAACCTTCTACTGTAGCGACATCTAGAATGTGCGAGTAAATATCGGTCCCGAAATTTCTGGAAGGATCTCGACTCTCCTAGTTCTGCTACTCGACACTAGAGGGCGCTAGTGTAACTAGTGTTGCCATGTACAAGACATTAATAGTGGCGCGCAATACTTTCATTTACTCGACACTAGGGGGCGCTAGTGTAACTAGTGTTGCCATGTACAAGACATTAATAGTGGCGCGCAACACTGCCCGCTCCTAAGACATGCTCGTCCCGAGCATTATTGGCCCCATAATAACGCGCCAGTCGATCCACATGGACAATCTTAGGAGTACCTCTGGCACCTTTCTGTATCCGGTAGGTTACATCATTGATCCTTGTCACAATCCGGTACGGTCCGTCCCATTTAGCTTGAAGTTTAAGAGATTTCCCTTTGCTGCGAACTGGATTGTGTAACCACACTAGTGAACCTTCATCAAACCCCTTGTTGTTCATTTTGCGGTCATACCGTGTTTTCATCTTCTCAGACGTTTGCTGGCCCGTCTGTCTGACGTGCTCATAAATGTCATTCATTTTGTTCCGCAAGTCATTTGCATAATCGGTTATACTGCGTGGGGCATCAGGTGGTATTCCGGTGATCAGGTCTGCAGGCAGCCGCAATTCTCTCCCAAAGTTTGCGAAAGCTGTTGTCACTGATGTACTTTCGTGAACAGCGCTTCGATATGACAACAAAAACGGTTGTATGTGCCTGTCCCAGTCTCGTTGCCGTTTTTCCACAACTTTTGCCAGGTACCTTTCCAATGTCTGATTTAATCGTTCTACCAGATTGATGATCAGATTGTGGGTGGTAAGAAGTTGTTCGCGTTTTATGAGTACCCATAACTCTGCAAGTTTCCTGGAATATTTGAGACTCGAAATTCCTTCCTTGATCGCTGTGAATCTCTAAGGGTACTCCAAAACGACAGAAGACTTCATGAACTAGTTTATCTGCAACTGTTGAAGCTTCTTGATTTGGAATGGCGAAGACTTCTGGCCACTTAGTAAAGTAATCCATCACAACCATGAAATACTTGTTACCACTTTCACTTTCCGGAAACGGCCCCGCAACGTCAATGGCTATCCTCTCCCATGGTGCACCAACATTGTACAATTTCAATGCGCCTCTACTACGAATTTGAGGTCCCTTTACAGCCGCGCAACTTTTACATTTGCGGCACCAGTCCTCGACATCTTCACGACAGTGGATCCAGTAAAACCGTTCTTGGATCTTCAGTAGAGTTCGTTTAACTCCCAGGTGGCCTCCTGAACAACCACTATGGTACAGCTGTAGAACATCCGGTACTTTAGCCTTAGGGACAACCATTTGCAAATGACAACTGTCTCCCCGACCATTTTCCCATTTACGGCACAGGACTCCATCCTGAATCAGCAATTTGTCCCATTGGGCCCAATAGCTTTTCGTGGTCGAACTCATTGCTGAGACGTCGCTCCACTTGGGCTTAGGAGCACTGGCCTTCATCCATTCCAGAATCGGCTTAATGTCCGGATCTTCCTGCTGTGCATGTTGTAGGCTGTCCTTCCACTCATTGCTGAGCTGGTCTGTCCTGAGCATTCTCACAGATACCACTTCCTTACCCTCTTGCCTAGTACAATGCTTGCAATCTTCAGGGCAAGGTCTTCTTGACAATGCATCTGCATTGTTTGTGGCGTCGCGTCGCTTGTAAGCTTGTGATGCAACGACAGCATGAACACAACAACAAACAAGGTCAAAAGTTAAAACAGTAATAAAAAATAACCGAATGTGTAAAAAAATAACTGAAAAGAGAAAAGTTTTATATACTGTGTCACTTCTACAACTAAGACAAATCTAACGATACCCGATATCTAAAGATCCATTATGCCGTTTTAGGCTACAGAGCGTACCAAATAAATAGACATAGATACACTCATAAAATATTACCCTCCTTCTGGAGCAGTCGGGTAAACAGCACTATATTCTGTTCTAAAATAGTTTATCCATTATAGGATACTATGTAAATATCCATTATCTAATTATGATTCCGTACCATAAATAATAATATAATCGTAATCGTTCGGCACAATATTTTTAAAAATTCTGGAATTTTAGTATTTTGGGCCTATAAATTTTGATAATACGAAACAATAATTTTGATCAATTATAATATGTGTATTACATAGATCTGTCTTCACATTATATACAACAGCAATATTGCTTACACATATTATGCTATATTTTCGTTTTTCTTTTCTAAATTAAAAAAAAAAACGTTACCCCCTCAGAAGGATTTTCTCCTGTATCGTAGAAGTAGTTTACATACATTGCTCAAAGACACAAATTCATATCCCGTACAATTATTTGTAGGCCATACAAGCATTTCCCATGGGGGATTCAAACATCCCAATTCTCAAATGAGATGAATTGAATTTGTCACTTGAGTTTTTCTTGTATATCCGTATAGCGGTAGCAATTAGCCCACACCGAACTATCGCGCTTCTTTTCTTACATGTATGTCGCTATCTTTATGTTCAAATGATACAATTTTAGATTATAATTGCCTCCCCCCCCCCAAAGCCTTATTTTTTTTTACTAATTATATTAATTATATTTTGTTTTAGCACGAAAATCTGACATTGAGCTGGCAACACTGAGAACTGGTAGCATACATATATTATCTTTTTATTAAAATTATTCAAAATGCATATTTTTATTCATAAAAGTAAGGTATTGGTTGAGTAATTAATAAAATAGCTGATACGAAAATTCTACCAAGCTGTCACACTTGTGACCTATTTTTTATAAGATGGTCATAATATTTTCAGTTATTGATCCATCATTCTTTAAGTGTTTACTGACCTTAAATTTCTTTGTTTGTGAAATTAATTTTGAGAATCAACCACATTAAAACTATAGGTTACCTCACAATTATTTGGGAAAGTGATAATGGCTAATATAAATAATATGTTATGGAAAAGAATGGTTAGTTTAATATGTGTAACTAGTGAAATAGATAAATTGGTGATTTTATATATTTGTGTATATCGGGTTGTACATTGAAAATCTTAGACATGGAGATTTATTTTTAAGTATTTTTGAATTATATTTTTATAGTAATTACCATTCAAAAATACTTAAAAGTAATTCTTATAATATTATTTTTAAATTTATGTTCCTTTTTACACTTTTATAAGTTTACTGTGGCATGTTTATGTGTCGGAACGCGAGCAGCGCTAATATCTAGATAGTGTTGCTTACCTACTACTTCTTTGAACAATATTTACTACTTTTAAAACTTTTTTATTTTAAGCGCTTTTATATATTTTATACTTAATTACGTACGAATACAGTGCGTAACTTATATTTTAGTAGGTTGGAAGACTGTTATTATTAGGACAAAATGTAGTTATTTAAATTAATAAATTGAATTAGTAAGATAAGTAGTAGTTGCAATTATGTCAAAATGTCATAGTTATTCAGTAATGGTGTAGATGAGTAACAGTTATTCACGGATTTATAATATTTTGGTAAACTGTAGATATTTTGTCATATCATATACTTTTTTGATAATTGTATCGTACGCTGGTACTTTCACGAGTGCCAATTAATAGGACATTATCATTTATAATAATTTGCTCAAAAATTTCCTCACATGTACACATTGTAATGGCGTATAAGCGAAAAAAATTCTTGAGGTTTAAATCAATATCAGAGCACTTGTTTCAAAACATTTCTGCTGTGAATAAAAAACTATTACAGCTTTCAAGTGAATGATTTATGTATTTATTTTGGATTTTTTAATTTTTGTTTGTGTCCTAAAAGGCAACTTATATAATTTAGTGACATATCTGAATATTTTTAAGCAAATATACTGGTAGCACTGCAGCTGTCATCTGTCACCTTCACCTGTCAGCCACCCAGCAGCTGTTTTATGAGTTATTGATGTGTGTGGTATTTACAGATATATATTTCTTGTTCTTCGTAAATACTAAATATTAAATACGTATTAAAATTTATAGGTATAGGTGATTGTGATAAGAGTAGTATGCATTTTTGAGAAATAATAAAATTTTGTGCATAATGGGAATATTTTTGTCCTGTTGTAAACCTTCAGCGTCGGATGTTTTGACACCAGATGCTGTAAGTCAATGTTTTTTTATCTGCCTAATAAGTTTAATAGTGTTGTTGTACGTATCGAAATTATTAAGTAAGTATGTATTTACACTTAAAAAATATCGGATTAACAAGGCTACCATGCCTTCATCTGCTTCTGAACATACCCAGTTTCATGCCATCATTTCATACCATGGCTTCGTTCAGAGGTGGATAAAATATCGACAGCGCCCTAGGCTAGAATTTCCTCGGCGCCCCTTTAGCGGCTAGAAATTGTAAAATTATAACTACTTATTTTGCAAGTAAACTACATTCTTGGACAAATTTGGAGGAATGCAAAAAAAAGAGCTTATTTTCTCCTGTTGTAATAACTGCGTGTACTGGCCACAAACATAAGTAAATGGTTTAAAAAAAAGTTTTGTAATGTTTTTTTTTTCAAATTTCATTTGGGTTATTATAGTTATTGTTTAATATTGTGTTCTTTCATACTGTGAAAGTTTTTGCTAACTTTCGAATTTGATTTTATTTAGGTTTAGATTTTGTTTAAATTTTTGCCTTGACAGCCTTGTTTATTGTGTTAAATTGGTGAATTGTTACTGTCAATAAACTGAGAATGCCAGATATAAATGATACTTAAGTTGCTAGGGCTGTTACTTTGAAACTGAGCATAACTACAAACATGAGGTATTGGCAGACCGGACAGTATACGAGACTTTCAGGTGATGGACGTAAATGGAAAACTGTGGCCAGAGATGATGCAGCACAGGGAATCCTAGTTACGCCACCAGTCTCTACAACTAGCATTTGGTAAATTACTTAATATTTAAATGTAATGATATTTAAAATTAATTTTGTAGAGAGAAATAAAGATTATTATTATTATTATCTTTACAAGCATGCTTTGAAACAGGACTTTTCCTTCTTCAGAGGTAAGAACAAAGCTACAAGAAATTCGAGGGGTTACAGTAAGCACAAAAACTGTGACAACTTTTACAGTAAGCACAAAAAGAAACATACTGAAAGAGGCCTCGTTTCATGCCATTGAGTAATTTGAGTTAATTTTGCTCACAATCACGAAAATTGGAATGATTAAGCATGGAGTAAAGTTCTACTCATAGTGTAACGTTTTTGCCTCAAACCAGATTATGGAAGCATTAAAGCATGTAGATGCACAGGAGAGAGGTACGCTCAGAGCAACATCATTGGAAAGGATGCATATGGAGGAGGGTCAGTTATAGTATCTGGAGGATGGAGGTATATTTATGGTGGCACTTACAGAATTCCGCGTCTTTAAGAATGGTTCACTAACAGCGGCACAGTAACACGTAACTTTGGATTGGACTTCGGAACAGGACAAAACTTGCGATACCATCTGGATGATTGCTGATCCACTTTCTGAACTCCCACTGAACATTCCTTGATTTTTAAACTTAAACGTTAATCATTTAAATGTGATAAAGTGAATAATGCTATATCAAAATAATTTAACAGTGGTAGAGTCATGCGGCAGCTTTTGCTGTCGTACGGATGGGCCGGCTCGAACCGGGGTGGTACCACGACCTCACAGAATACCAGCGTGAAGTAGAGGTTTACCTCTGCGTTTCGCTTGGTGAGTGCAGGTGGCCGGAGGCCCTTTTTACTGGAAATGAGGCATTCCATCTTAGTCCTCACGGGTGACAACGCATCTGCATCTTGATTCGCAAACGAGGATAGATGTAGATGTCTATGGGCCGCAGCAACCACTTACCATCAGGTGGACTGTGCGCTCGTTTGTCACCCTTACCCTATAAAAAAAAAAAAAAAAAAAAAAAAGTGCATTGGTTTAACGTTAATAATCTACATTTAAACGGAAATAAAACTAAATGTATTAAATTTACAACAACAAATGTTAAAAATCTGAGTACCAATGTGTTATTAAATGGGGAAGAACTGAGCCCTGTTAAATCCACTGTTTTTCTTGGCATCACTCTCGATGCAACGCTTCAGTGGGGCCCCCATATATCCAAACTAGCAAGCAGACTAAGTTCTGCAGCCTATGCTGTAAAAAAGATTAGAGGTTTCACTAGTGTCGAGACAGCTAGATTAGTTTATTTCAGTTATTTTCATAGCATAATGTCTTATGTGATTTTGCTATGGGGAAATGTGGCTGATTCAGAAACTATTTTTGTTTTACAGAAGAGGGCCATTAGAGCTATTTACAACCTAAAACCGAGAGAGTCTCTTAGAGATAAATTTAAAGAAATAAATATATTAACTTTGGCCTCTCTGTATATTTACGAAAATTTAATGTATGTTCACAAAAACAAAGGTAGTTTTAGTAAAAAAAGTGATGTGCATTCTGTAAACACTAGGAACAAACACAAGCTAGTGATACCAGTTTCTCAACTCCACAGTCAGTAATTCATTCTTGGGGCAATGTATACGCTATTACAACAAGGTCCTGGAAAGTGTACAGGCTCTCTCTATTAGCAAGTTTAAATGTTTTGTTAAGTTGAAACTGTATAAAAAGGGTTATTATAGTATAAATGAATACATGGTTGATAATAAACCCTGGGAATGAGGTGATCGCTTCCAAGCTGTTTCTAAAATAAATTTTGTACTTATATAGTTTGTACAACCATTATTGTAAAATTTGCTTTAAGAAAAAGCCCCTCTGGGTTTCTTGCTGGTTCTTCCCAGGACAGAGGTTTTTTTTCGAACCAGTGGTAAAGTAAAAAATGACTTTCAATAAAAATTACACACGTGATCTATATTGAATAAAAAATTATTCTATTCTATTCTATTCACCAATGTGCGATTTAGAAGAAGTTTTCTTCCTTGCACAACTTCCTTTTGGAATTAATTACCACCAGCGATTTTTCCGGACCGATACAACTTAGGGACCTTCAAGAAAAGAGCTTACTCCTTTTTAGAAGGCCGGCAACGCATCTACAATGCCCCTGGTGTTGCTGTTGTTCATGGGCGGTGGTAATCACTTAACATCAGGTGAGCCGCATGCTCGTTTATTTCTATAAAAAAAATATTTTGGGAATAATTCTAGTGCCATTTGCCCCTTTTATAGGAGACAGATTTGTTTTTATGCATGATGATGCACGCCCCTACACTGCAGCCATAATTGCGCGTAGGGATTACCTTGCAAAATAAGTTATGAAAAGAAATTTTGCCCCCTCTAATTTGGAAGATTAAATACGCATTACAGGAAGAATAATATGCAATCTCTCAAGATTTTATTGATAACTTGATTAGAAGTATGCCAAGAAGACTGGAAGCAGTTCGAAGAGCTAGAGGGGGTGGTAACATGTAGTACTGATCCCATGTTAAGCCTTTTGTAAGCATTTATAAAAAAAAAAATAGAATGTTAAGTAATGATTTCTTATATTTACATGAATACTACACATTTGTATAGTGTTTGCTTAAATGTTAGATTAAAAAATTCGTAAATATAGTTTTATTCAAAATGTTAAGTACGTAAATGTTCCTTTCCTGTAACATTTTTGCTTTTTTTCTTAATAACCAAATTAAGAAAAAATTTTTGTCATTTCTCATTTGTTTTTTAGATAATAAACTTAATTGTCACAAATATCCACGATATTTTGATTTATACACACTCGTTTTGCATTCTTCAAATTTGTCCATGATTGTATAATATTATAATTTATAATATAGTTTATTAGTAACCTTTTTTTTATTATTACAGCTTTATCCACTTGAAAATTTTAACAAATATGCATCCAATTGTAATTATTTCTTTTTTAATAATTCTTTGTTAAGTGGGTATGGGTAAGCCTCCTCCATTCTTTTCTACCTTTCCCTGTCTTTGGCCGTATGCATCTAACTTTTTCCTGCTTTGTTTATTATGTCATCGGCCTATCTTTTCCTGTGTCTTCCCACATTTCTTTTACCTTTTGGACAATACCATTTAGATGTTTTGTAAGTCCATCTCTTATCTTTGTATCTTGACAAGTGCCCTGCCCAGTTCCATCTCTGTTTCAAACTAAAATGAAGAGCATCTGTTAAGTTAGTTTTCATCGTTAAGTTAGTTTTGCATTTATCGTTTTTTGTATTTTTCTCAGCTTCAATATACTACGTTCCATTGCATGTTGACAAGATAATTTTTTTAAACTTTTTAGTAGTTTTAATAATAATAATAATAATCATTTATTGACAGACAACAAAGGCCCGTAAAAAAACATAATTACTTATAATCAACAAACATAAAAAAAATGAAATAAAATAAAATAATAATGTAATACAAAAATAAATAAAAATTAAATAAATGCCATCAAACAAATTAAAACTTATATCTTAACATACTAGACCAATATTTAAATATTTCACTACAATTTTGCGTTAACTAACGTATGTAAAAATATTTTCATAATCTTTAAAAAATTTAAAGTCTGCGCAAATCAAATCATTTTTTGAACAAAATTTTATTAATTCGTTACTAAATAAAGTGTTAATATTCGCATTATAGTCTCCTAAGGCAATAGCCACATTTACAAAATGATTTTCTAATAAACTTTTGATTGTACATAAAATATTTGTAAATTCAGGTAAATTTTCAAGATTGTTTTGAGGCATATAAACAGAAAAATACATATGGCAATTCCCATTAATATACGATTTTATAGCACAAATTCGTGAATCATTACAATTTACTAAGTCAACATTATTAATTAACGCAGTTCTCCACAAGAGGGCCACACCTCCATATGGTCTCCCTTTTAATATTCCGGATGAAGAATCGACCGCAGAGGTACCATGTGAAGAGAACTCGGTATGAATTCTTGACAAAAAAGATAGCTCATGGGGAAGCAGCCAGGTCTCTTGAAGAGCCACCACATCAAACTTTCTACACAGTTCTGTAACATGATCAACACTTCTCTTAATTGACTGACAATTAAAACTAACGAACTTCATGTCTTACGGAATTACTTTGCCAGAAATGTCTAAACACTATGCCTACAGGCCAGAAGTCCTCATTCATAAAAATATGTTTTCTGTCAATATTAATCCTTACCTTAAAAGAAGCAAAGTTAGTCACATTAAAAGGTTCAATACGTTCAACACTTATCACTTGTTTACCTTTACACTTAATATACTCCTCAAGCTTATCAGCAGTCGTTGAAATGTCTAAACGTGATACATGTAAGCAAAGAGATCTCGGAGCAGCTCGGATAAGCGAAATTTTTTAATTGTAACCATATTGTAACCTAATAGTTGCAAAATAATTAGGACACAAATAACCTTAACAGGTTGGTGTATGAAAAATGTGATAAGAGAGTGAGGGCGATGTAGAAGTCATCAAATAGACATTTTTTTTTTCATTTAAAAACCTCCATGTACACCCTTTTTTAACCGTGCACCCCTAGGCACGTGCCTAGTTTGCCTTAAGGATAATCCGTCACTGGCGTAGTTTCTGGGGTAGTGGAATCTACTATGTCGCCACTACTCGACAAATTACACAGTGGTAAGCAATTCTTGGTATCATATTGCAGGAGTTCCCAATCTTTTTCAGTTCATGACACACTCACAGGTCATTGTGACTATATACATATATGTATATGACAGTGTAATAAGACATAGGAATTGAAACCTTTTCAATGAATAGTATTACATAATTGATATAAATAAATTAAATTACAAAAGGTGAAAACTTAATCACAAGTTAGTCAATCATGTAAATTTGTCGATTGCCACAAGTTTTTACTCTTATTTCTTGCTCCAAATGGACTTTTGAGTGATATTTGCTCTTTATTATAGCTACAACTGAAAATTTAGCTTTGCATAAATAGGAGGTTGCAAAGGGACTGAGAATTCTTAAAGCTTTTGAACTTAAGTGCATAAAATAGAATAATCAAATCAGTGCTTTTACCTAACTAGGGGTGGTCATAACTGTACATAAGACAATTTCAAAAATGTATATCTCAATAATTAAAAATTTTTTTTTTACAATCGACTTTAATATAAATTATTAAGAATAACTCAAAAACTATTGGTCTGACCTTGATCAAATTTTATGGCACCACACGTGAAGCACCAGCTTTCAAATAAAAAAGAATCATCGAAATCGGTTCACCCAGTAAAAAGTTATGAGTTAACACACATAAAAAACATACAGTCGAATTGAGTACCGTCTCCTTTTTTAAGTCGGTAGAAAACTACATGCTTCTGCAGAATAATATTTTATAATCAAACTAATATAAACAAGAACCTCTGAAAAGTTTGAACATTCAAATCAATTGTAGGTGGCACACCTTTTCCGCCTGGAGTTTGTCTGGATAGATGCTATCGTCTTACATATATTTGTGCCACGAAGCAGCAGCATTGCTGATCGCATTGCTGCAATCCAATTTGAAGAGTGTAGAAAGCCAGCAAAACAGGCTGTTAAGCATTGCATCTTAGACCTCAGACACAGTCTAACTACTACTAACAGTCTGTCATCGAAGGTGTCTAGACGGAGCAATCGTGCGGTGCGGTGTGGGGCGAGACGCGGGCGGAAAGTTCCCGAGCGGCTCTTAGTAGCTTGGGAACTGTCCGCTAGGGTTATCCTGTCACGCAAATAAATTAAAATAGTCCACACTTAATGTGCGATAAAAAACTGTGGGTCGTCATCATTTAATGATAAGGAATGAGGGTATCCACGACTTTTTCTGCCACCATGGCGGCGCCAGTAGAAAGTGAGGTATAATATTTGATAGTTTACATAGCAGGGAAGTTAATTTGTTCGAAAAAAGTAAAGGTTATTGTTTCTTTCTGTGCTATTAGCTTTATTTTATATTAATAAGATTAAAAATAAATAAACCAAACCACATATACTTAATACATAAATGTAGAAAAATTAAAATGAAAGTTAAAAATGTGGAAAAAATTAAAGAGCAAACTACTGACGCATAGTTTTGTGTATTAATATAATACTCTAGAAACTGATAAACTTTTATTAAAAACCAACTCCTCAATTAAATTACATTGTGTAACAAAAAACTCTACCTCTGTGTCAACTAGCGACATCTGGTTAGCAGAAAATTATTAGTCGTCGTTAGTTTCATCAGTTTCCACATACATACACATTAATTTGTTTAAACGTGAAATAAAATAAAATCAGTTTTTTATTTTTTTATTACTTCCCGTTCTAACAACCCTAGCAATTTTTTGTTTATGTCGGCTTTTCCGACAACATCAAACGCGATGTCTGCCTGTATGTTCTTCTTAGCCTGTGCCTCAGAGGTGACGATGCACCTGTAGCCTTCTTTATTAAGCTTCTTACTTGATTTCATTAAATTTCTTATATCTTAGTAAATTGTCTTTCCATTTGAAAATTGCAGCGAGCTAAGCGCCCTCGGTAGCTCAGGAACTAAGCGCTCGCTGTAAATTTCACAGTTCGCGAGCAACCAAGGTTCAGTCGTTGCCGACTCTATAGAAATTGTTAATTGCAATTTTAAGTGCTGATATATCACGTGCTCGGTGGTGAAGGGAAACATCGTGTGGTAACCTGCATGTCTAAGAAATAAGAAAAAAAATTATTTCGAAGACGTGTGAAGTTCGGCAACAAGAATTGGGGCATCGCGGTGGACATTTCATTGCCCTAATACCCTCTAAGAAATGAGAGGAGGCCTGTGTCAGCAGTGGAAGATAGTCTTAAATTGTCTTAGAGAACGCAACGAAATGCAACTTAATACATAAAAAATCCCCGTTCATTTCTAAAACTACGAAATACTATAGAAATGTATTCACTTACCTTGTAACTGCTAAATCAATAGTATTTTTGAATTGTTTTCTTTAATTTTTTTTAACAGGAGACCAGACGCAGACAGCAAGTGGAGGCAGCGGAAAAGAGACGTGCCGAAGAAGCTGCACGCGGGGTGAAAGACCCAGAGAAAGTTAAGAGAATGCAGCAGCGAGCTGAAGAAATGGAGCGCAGGGAGCAGGAGCTGCAGAAAGATGGAGGGGCAACACTAAAGGTAGAGAAACGGTGACCGTACCTGAGTAGTCCGCGAACTACCTCAAAGCCTCTAACTAAAGGTTTTTTTACGCTCCACAAGTATAACTGGCGTAAGAATGTTAATTTAAAATGTAAAATTGCATTTTGTTTCTCTCATGAATTTAAAAATGATTCCCATATCATTTGAGGATGTCAGACATCATAACAGATCGCTTATATACAGAATATCTAATAATAATTATTACATATTCCTTTTTAGAGTTCCGTACCTAAAGGGTAACCAACAGGACCTTATTACTAAGCCTCCGCTGTCTGTCCGTCTGTCTGTCAGTGGGCTGTGTCTCATGATCCGTAACAGTTGAAATTTTCACAGAATGTCTATTTTTGTTGTCGCTATAAGAACAAATAATAAAAATAAATTAAAAATTAAACGGGGCTTCCCCACTAGAAACGTGTTTTACAATGGTATGGAACCCGTCTAGCGCGAATCCGACTCGCACTTGGTCGGCTATTTTATTTAAGACGACGAGCCCCGCAGGGTTTCTTGCTTTGTAAGCTGTTATTTAAAAAAAAAGTCCCGCTGGGTTTCTTGCTGGTTCTTACCAGGACAGAGGTTTTTTTTTCAAACCAGTGATAATTAAACAAAAAAGTGACTTTCAATAAGTATTATTTATAATCTATATTGAATGAAAAAGTTTCTGTTTGTGTTACGATCCATTATTCTGTAAATGTTTACAAGATGATAATGTCAAATTCCCAATACTGTCGGAAGTTATCTATGACGCTGGACATAAAGTACCAAACGCGCACACACACAAATTACTTACGACAGTAGTCACTTGTTGTAAGTAATTTGTATCCTGAAGTAACACTTATCTAGTAATATTAAAGGTAGTATACAAACATTTAAATTTTCATCAGCCCAAAAAAGGCAAATCCTCCCAAAACGGGGCAGCCTAAGTTATATGTTGTAATGGTTGCATGGATGGAAATATTCTGAATTTTTTAAGCTTATTATAAGCGAGTGCTTGACCGCAAGCCCACCTGGTGGTATGTGAGGTTTCTTTGTCAAAATTGACATAAAAGTAAGTAAGTAACTCTCAGCTTTTTAATATTGCCTCCATATGAAGAATATCATCATTCATCATCATTACAGCCCTTCACAAGTCCACTGCCGAACATAGGCCTCCCCCAAAGAATGCCACAAAGCACGGTCCTGAGCCACCTGCATCCATCGACTTCTTGCATATCTTACCAGGTCGTCACTCCATCTAGTGGGGGGACGCCCTACACTTCGCCTGCCGGTACGAGGCTGCCACTCGAGAACGTTTCTTCCCCATCGGTTGTCGGTTCTTCAAGCTGGATGAAGAATATGGATGCGGCTATATTTATTATCTGTGTTTTTTTTTTCAGTGGACGGCTGACTGAGACGAGGTGCAAGGCGAGAGTGGGAGCAAACAAACGAAAAGTGACAAATACAAATATAAAAATTGACGTCACATAGCCACTTTACACTTTCTCACAAAATATCACATCTTCGAAAATAAATATCTTTAAAAATCGCTGTAATCAATATTTAAATATTATTCATTTAAAAATACTTAACATAATATATTCTGTTGCTGTTTATAGTATTTAAAATGTTCGTGATCAGTTAATATTAGATGGAATGATAAATAAGTTATTTCTCAACTGGATAACTTTGAGAATATTATTTTTTATGTTAGTTATTTTTATTTTTGATTTGGCATCATAGTTAAATCCTTTGCCTGTTTTCACTTCAGCACATACGCGCGGTAAAATACCGTTAAATGATAGTTTTAACAGTGTTCTCGCCTGAGGATGATGACTTGTATATTTATTATCATGAATATCGTATTAGAAATATGTGGTAGATGTGCTCTTTTTTGTCCACAAGCAAATATAAAAATAAACATAACATTTTCGTGGATATACGAGTTGTTAAAAATGTTTTTAATTTGACATGGATATCAATTTCCTCAAACCTCTCCGTTACATTATTCTAAACCATCTTATCAAATTTTATCAAATAAGTTAACTGTTCATATTTTTTTATTTGCTTAGAAGGTTAAGAAAAAATACATTGGTCATATATTACATTAATACAAGTCTTATAGTCGTGGACTAGTCTTATAAACTTTTTTTTTAACGATTTAATATAAAGAATTTCGTTTCATGTATATTTTATTGCTATAATTTGATATTGCTTAAGTTATCACACTAATAATAAAACACAGTTGTACTACTGATCACTTTAGTTCGCCGTTATTTCGCTTCGAAGTATTCTCTTGTATTGAATAATGTTATAAAGAAATTTAATTTTCTGTTTAATAAAAGTTAGTCAATCTCTTCTTTACCTGGATCAAACACTCCATTTTATTCTGCTAGTAGCTGATAGCCGCGACTTCGTCCGCGTTGCTTGATATATTATCAAGAAAACACATCACTGAACACGTAGTGCTTATAAAAATCGTTGTTTCTTAAAACTTTAAAAACTATATATTAAATGAAGATAAGGTCCAAGTGTCTAAGAAATAAAACTTAGAAAACCTAGTTGAAATTTATCCAGTGGTTTTTCCGTGAGCGCGCACTACTGCAAACCTCTATCATTTTAATTATGTAGATAATACGGCTGCTTTTAAGAAGTGCATATATTGCTACAGCTGCTATAGAGGAGTTAGCCAAGTCGACTTTTACGATCTTTAACGCTGATAGAAAACTACAAAGTTAAAGCAAAGTTATCTACGTTCCACTGCTGGCATAGAATTTTACAGACATGCAGCTTTCCTCCCAACGTGTTCTTGCACCACTGGGCATGTACAAAATCAGCACTTACAATTGCATTTAACCCGATCGAAGAACACTAAAATAAATGAAGCCTACGTTGAAATGACATATCTCAACGATGTAACATTGAGGTAATACCATTCCCCCTTTTTTATATAGTTTCCCATTAGCGTCAACGATTGCATAAAGTCTACTTGGCTAACCCCGCTGCGGAATTCCTTTTCCGTTTCTTCTCCGATCACAGGTACCTTATTTTAACACTGTAGTAGATGCTATATTAAAAAAATAGTGGTTTGGCAAAATACATTTTAGTTTCTTACGTCAAAGCAAGAAAATTTCACTTCACTCGATTTATAAATTGTATGTTAATTTCAGAAATAAAAGCGACTAAACGCATTGTGATTATGTTTAGTGTGGCTATAAAGGTAGGAATTTAAATATACATAATATATAAACACATTTTAGACAACTTTTTGTAGTTGTAGAATATTTCATGTTGAACTTCTTATATTAATATTTCTATATCTTTGTATTATATATAGGGACCTATGGACGATATTAAATGTGTACATTACATTGATGGTTATGCATGTATAAGATGTTATAGCGCATAAGTCGAAAATAAGGTATCATGGGGTAGTAATTGGGACGCGGGACGGGCGTGCGTATCGTTCGCTCGCGCTGATTGGTTCTCCAGTCGCATTACGTCACGACCATACGTGATATGTGCGCGACAGTACCCATGCGCAGCTATCCCCTCCACGTTTCGTTCAGCGCTAGACTTACGTGCCGCGACTTGTAGTATAAAATGTCTGAAGGCGTATAGAGTTAATGATTTCTTATATTTAACACTACACTTTTAAATAAAACTAGTTCTTACTGATTCTATCGCGTATAACAACATATTTTATATTCCCGACGTTTCGAGCACTTTACAGCACCCATGGTCACGGGGTATTAAAATAACTAATTTTTGATCCGATCTACGCAGTATGAAAGTTAATATTATCGCGATAGAATTCTTAAAAACTAAGTTTTCTTTAAAGACGTATATAGTTAGCGATGTCACCAATCAAATATAATAGATGTTATTTATAAAAATACTTACAATAGAGATTTTGGAACAATCACTTTGTACTTTGACGAAAATTGTATCCGATATTATAATTTGTTATAAAGTCCGATGAATATATACACGCGACTCTTACAACCTTTTTGACACTAAATACTCTTTAATAAAAGAGTTACATATTATACCTGTTCCATTTGTTTGTTTTGTTACGTCATAAATATGTTCAACCAATGATGTTGCCTTTATTTTGGTTTGAGTATTTTTGATATATCGAAATTTACTATACCTAAAAGATTCAATGAAAATGAGTAATTCCGCAATAACTTGAATGGATATTGAAATTATAAAAATATTTTTATAGATTTATAATAAAATACATGTTCAATATACCTACAGTCAGTTCTGTATTAAAATGTTGGACGATTATTATGTACAGGTTGTTATTTAAATTTCCTCTATATATTTACTGTCAGTAAATAAAATAATTATTATGTATACTACAAATGAAACGTCGATTTACAGTTTAAATTATCCGTTGATTAAGTGTTGTTTAGTTCAAATAATATATTTTTACTTCTTTTTTACTATTACGAGATATCCAAAACCGTTTAAATTTTTATACATAATATCACAGTTTAAAGAGCTAACAGTTGTGAAACGCTTTTGATGTCAAGCTATGCCGCCGCCCGAGTAAATATTTACACCGTCGACGCAAATATGCTAGGTGTTGTCACGAAATTGGGAATAAAATAATTTTGGATATTATATACTCATTATCATTTATTAACATTATGTATATACTTGTAAATCAAAAACATTTATTGAACAAGATCATTTTTATTACTACAAAGAAAAATACATTTACAAGTGTTGTTGCATTGCCAAATATTTTCGTGACATTTTATTTTTATAGATGGTTTTCAGTTTTCGATTGTAAAATTTAATTATGTAGTGCATTCGCATTCGGATGAACAACTTTATAAAAAAAAAAACATTTGAAATCATACTTAATAACTCATATAACTATTAACAGTAATTCACAATTATAGATATTATATTTTTCAATAAGGCACTTAAAATTAGTTAAATAAGAATTATAAAACACGATCTCGTCAACCGCATGTATGTACAGGTGTACAGCAGACTTAATGGAGTGCGCTGGCATAAAGTTGCGCCGCCCACTGCCCCGCGAGACCCCCTCGCCGTCGCTTTGAACAAGTACATTCGTTTATCAGCTGTTAGACTCTTTTTAAACTGTGATAATATATTGGAATGTTTGTCATCAAACAAAAGTTGTTAAATTAATTAAGAAATTGTTTTTTTTTTAAAATTAATTACAGTTTTCTATATTTATAATAACAAAACAATAATTCATTTAAGAAGACTGCGTAGTAAGTGTACTAAAGATTTATTTTTACATTTTTTTTTATAAAAGACAACCAACTGTGCGTTTATGTATTATATAAATTTTAAAATGAATGCTAGGGGTGTCAGACTAATTAAACATAAGTTAACCAAAAGTAGGGGCACCAGTTCGCAAAAATCTTAATACATTTAGCTACAGTGGTAAAGGTCGGTCGCGGAGCACGAATTATTTTATTGCTTTGCATTTTTAAACTTTATTCTCACCAAAAAAAGTTTTATATCTATTGCAACTAAGATAGTTTTAGGACCTTTTGGACAGTATTTGTGATTTGAAAACCGAGTTTATTCTCAAGTTATTAAAGTTCACATTTGTATGAATTGCAATAATTTGAAATTCTTCCTGCTCCGTGATCACGCCATAATCATAAACACGAACAAAAGTTTCCCTACGGACCAATGTAAATAAAAATAATTTTTAGTCTTGCTCAAAACACAACTTCAGCTACACCTATATGCCTGTTCTAATTAAAGCCTTTGTCTCTAAAAAGTTAATACAAAAGTAGTGTCTTCAATGGTGTTTAAGTACCTATTTATGTTGCACGCGTTAATAAGTAAGATTTTATAATGTACTATTTGTTGTATTAAATGTTGCATGTAAATATGTATGGTTTTATTAAACATCCTGTGGTTATTACTATAGTTGAAAGAGCCCGTAGTAGCTTTAGCGCAGAAGCGCTAAAGCTACTACGGGCCTTATCTAATACTACGGGCCTAATCTACCATTTTGCCTTACGTATGTGGACTATGAGAACGCCTTTGATTCCATCGAAATTTGGGTGGTGCTGCAGTCCCTTCAGCGGTGCCAAGTTGACTGCCGGTATATCGAAGTGCTGAAGTGTTTGTGCAATAGAGGCTATCCGAGTACAGAATCAGAGTACGAAACCTATCCAACAGCAGAGAGGTGTAAGACAGGGTGACGTTATATCACCGAACCTCTTCACCACTGCATTGGAAGACGTTTTCAAGCTACTGGACTGGAAAGGATGCGGTATTAACATCAATGGCGAGTATATCACTCACCTTCGATTTGTCGACGATATAGTCCTTATGGAAGAATTGCTGGAGGACTACTAGAAAGTAATTGATAAATATCTAATATTTGACATACTTAATTACTATGCTT